GGGCGGGGACGCGGCCCGGCTCCGGCGAGCGCCGCCGCTGGGACACGAGGACCCTGGGGGCGCGGCGCGCTGACGCCGGCGGCTCCGGGACGGTGTTGAGGTGGTGCGCGCTTGTGTGTGAGACCCGGGAGACCGGCGCCGGCAGTGGTGCGACGGGCGCGGCGTGGCAAGAGCTCGCTGCCAGCAGCGGAACAGGCGTCAGGGAAGAGGCCTCTCGAGAGCCAAGTTTGGAGGCCGGCGACAGGACCGCAGCACCAGGAGCCCATGTAGCGAGGCCGGGTAGGCGGGTGCACAAGTGGGGCGCTGCCCGCCCGTGGCCAGTGCCCTCCCGCCGCCCCTGGGAAGATAGCCCCACGCACTGGAGCGGGCTCTCTGCGCGAACCGAACAATTCCGCCGAAGTCGCCGGCGGCCCCGGCGCGGGGCGGGACGCGATAAGAGGCTCATCGAAGCGTCGTTTTGCCGCCGCCGACGGGCGCTTTGTGTCGCCTTTCTGACGTCGCCATTCTGCCGGCCTGAAAGGCGGCCGAAGTTGCCAATAGAACTTATCCACGGCGACGCTGACGCCACCCGAGACAGATCCGAAACGACCATCTCCTCCCACTTCCTCCCCGCTTTATTAGCATTCGTCGTGGGAAATTAGTTTTTCCCGAAGAAAGGACGGCAGCGGTGGCGCTTTTTGAAAGGCTTGAAACTTGGCCAAGTGGGTAATTAATTGTCGTTGTGCCGCCGCGTCGGCGGGTGCGGTGGCGCGGCCGGGCTGTCGGTGACGCCACCTGCCGCCGTGTGAACCACCGGAGCTCTCCGCGGCCGTGCGGAATCTGGGCCGCTTCCGGGAGGGGTGCCACCCGCCCCCCGCTCCGCCGTCGGCCGCGACGGTCTGCGCGACGCGATGGAGCAGCAGGCCAAGAAGCTAATCAGGCAGAACGTGCAGGCCTGCTGGAATCTGACGTGGCTGGCCAAGAGGAAAAACAGGTTGGTGGTGGGGTGGGCACAGGGACGGACGGCAGGGTGGAGGTAGGACCGGTGACACGATGTACCGGTGTTGGCCAGTTTGCACTGGAATCGCATTGAGCTCTTAGGAAATGTTTTAAGCTTACCATGACTGGAGCCAAAGTGTGAAGAAAGGCTTTGCGGGGAATCGAGCTTCCATATGCATGGACTGAGACCATGCTCTGCAATACTGGGGTGCTCAGGACACGCCCGGCGATGCTTGTCCAGAGCCCGGCGGCGCTCGTCCAAAGCCCGGTGGTGCTCGTCCAGAGCCCGGCGGTGCTCGTCCAGAGCCCTTCGGCGCTCGTCCAGAGCCCGGCCGCCTCGTCAGCGGGGGCTCACCCTCAGCAACATCGGCTCATCGGCCGTTCGCTCGCGGCCGCATGGCCGGCAAATCAACCGTAAAGCCCATCTCGGTCAGCTGTGGCCCGGCTGTGCGGGGCGTCCGCATCGATCCCGGCCGCGCTGCGTCCCAACGGCTCGCCGCACCTGAGCCTCTGTCCGCCGGCAGGCGTCCGTCCGCCTGCCGGCAGGCGTCCGTCCGCCTGCCGGCAGGCGTCAGCCCGCCTGTCGGCACACTCGGCTGTCGCCTGGCGGTCGGCGCCTGTCAGCAGCGGCATCACAGTGCGCCGCTGTCATGTCGCCGAGAACGCCTCTGCGCCTGCCGCTGTCGGTTCGGCGGCAGCGCGCAGAGGCGCGCGCGGGCGCCGGACGCCGCCGCCGCCCGGTGCGCCTCTGTGCTCCCCTCGGCCGCCGCTGGGGCCGCCTCGCTCTGCCATCACGCACCGGATCAGGCGTTGGCGCCCGGCTTGTCACAAGCGGCACTCACAGGGTGGCGCGGGCCGTGGGCCGGCAGGCAGCCCGGTGGTGCGATCACCGAGCCGGCTAGGCGACGGCCTGCGCGGTCGCCGCGAAGCACGCCTGCAGGCGTCTTCCGCAGTCGATGATATTGTGTGCCTCGCCGGCGGGCCGGAGTAGGGCTTTCGGTGCCGCCCCACCCGCAGGCGGCCGGTCTTCGGCCGAGGCGTCGCGATTCACGTCGCCCGCTCACTTCAAGACTGCCGGGTCACGTGTGCGGCCTGAGGGGCCCCGTGGTATGCTTCCGCACAGCTCCCATGCCACGTGATCTCAGCCCCAACTCCCTTCCGCATTACCCAGGAATTCCCCAGCCGCCCCTGGGTGGAGCGGCTGGGAAACACTTCTGGCAGCGCTGCTGTGGCAGTGTGGGCCACATCGCGGCCGTAATGGCCAGGGTGCCTCGGCATCGGGTCGCCGCCGAGCCCTCCACGTCATGCGCAGCCGCCAGAGCGGCCCGGCACCCATTACCGGCCTGTCGGCCGTCAACGAGGCATGCTCCGCGACGTCTCGCGCACGCCCGGAGATATGCTCGCCGCGCTCCGTTGACCTCGAACCCCCGGGTCGCCCACTGCCGGAGGTGGCGGTGCGACGGGCGATGGGTGACTGTGTGAGCTGCCAATGGGCGACCGCGTGTCGTTTTTGCGCTTCGATACGTGTAGAGTTTGGATTCCACTGGTTTTTCGCTTAAGGTTTTATTTTCCGAACGTCCACTTTGCTTGCTTCAGCTTTTCTGGCTTTCCGAAAGCTCCGACTCAGCTATTGGAGGCCATTGGACTTCGGAGGTCATGCTGTCAGGCTGCATTCAAACTCTACACAAATTCTGCCGGCCGATGTCTCGCAGCCTATGGCCTCCCGTCAGAGCGCGCCGTCTCCGTCTCACCCGAAGTTGTGCTCATTCCTCCGCCAAAGTCTAGTAGTTCCCGAACACGATCGCAACGTGTGCCTCGTTTCCTCGCCGCCGCCGTGTCCGGACGCCATCTCACCGCGGCATCCGCCCCTCCCGCACAGTTCATTAAGCCGATCGCGCGCCTCGCCGGCTGCCCTTCTGTCGTAGAGCGCCCCGGTCTGGTTCTGTCCGCGCGCGCTGCAGACCCGCCGTCGCCGGCTGCCCCGGGGGCGAGAGGCCGCCGCACCAGCACGGCCGGTGGGATACGAACCCCGGCAGCCGGTGCTCGCCTCGCTGAAGTTTGCTTCAGTCGGCTTCGAAAGGCGTCGTATCGTGCATTTAACTTGTGTTCCTCCCCTGCTTCACAATGTTCGAACATGCAAAAAACACCGCACCTGCGCCTTGTGTTGTCGTGAGAATTAAAGCGTCGCCGTCCGCCGCAGCCACATGAAGAGGAGCTCGTCGTGGCTTCCGCCGCTGGAGAACTGGCGCAGTGACGGTGGCCTGCCGTACGGCTGGGAGACGGCCGTCGACCAGGACGGCAAGAGCTACTACATCAAGTGAGTTCGCCGCGCTGTGCCGCCGTGAGACCCAACACGGTGCGGGTATAAGTGCGGGTATAAGCGCTTATTCCGCGGCTCGTAGGAATTATACGCTGCATTCGTCTGTGCAAGCTGCTCCTCCTCTCTTGCTGTCCATCATTATATGTCTCTTTCATTTTCTCTCTCTCTCTCACCCTCTCTCCCTCTCTCTCTCTCCCTTTCTCTCCTGCGCTTTTTTCTCTTCCATCTTTCTCTCGATCGCTATCCGTCTCTCTCTCTCACTCAGGGATAGTGAGAGGGAGATCTCTATCTATATATCTATCTATCTATATTTTTCTTCCTCTTCCCCTCGCGCTGTTGCTCTCCCCGTGTTTCTCCTGATTGCTCTCTCTCTCTCTCTCTCTCTCTCTCTCTCTCTCTCTCTCTCTCTCTCTCTCTCTCTCTCTCTCTCTCTCTCTCTCTCTCTCTCTCTCTCTCTCTCTTCTCTCTCTCTCTCTCTCTCTCTCTCTCCTCTCTCTCTCTCTCTCTCTTATCTCTCTCTCTCTCTCTCTCTCTCTCTCTCTCTCTCTCTCTCTCTCTCTCTCTCTCTCTCTCTCTCTCTCTCTCTCTCTCTCTCTCTCTCTCTCTCTCTCTCTCTCTCTCTCTCTCTATCTCTCTTCTCTCTCTCTCTCTCTCCTCTCTCTCTCTCTCTCTCTCTCCCCCCTACTTTATTCTTCGCGCCCTCTCCCTTTTCCTTCTCTGCTTTCTACTCCTTCTGCCCTCCGCGCAGCAACAGCAAAAAAGACAATATATCGGTTGAAAACAAGCGTCTGTCTGCAGCTGCGCCTCTTGGCCTGCGAGAACGCACAATCAGTGCCCACTGAAGCCCTCGCAAGCTTAGCGAAGAGGACGCTGACGAGGCAAATCTGCCACTTACGTGGGCACGGGATATTGTGGCTCCACTTAGCTTCGCCGCGAGCGGGGGGCGTGTCATGATGTATGCATGAAACGTGAAGCCGAACTTAGTTTGGAGAGTACCGTTTCCTTTAAATGTGTTTAAAACGAGTCATGCAATGCATCCGTCACGGAGATGGGTTTGGTGGTTGGGTTGTTCCGGCGCTTCTAGGCCTATAAAAGGAAGGGATTATGCAATGGTACCATGCAGACCCTTAAGCGTCAACACTGGCTCACAGTTTCCCGATGTCAGCCAGAGGCCAGCAGGCCAGTTGGATTTTGGCTCCAAGCTCAGTCACAAAGCACATTGCGCTTAAACACCCGACCTCTCGTATTGTGCGCTCTTGCTCTCACTCGCTTTCATCATAAAAGCTTGAGGCCCTCACAACAGGTCCCTCCGCCATTGCGGTGGGCTCAGCCTCGGGCGAGCGGACCGTCGCAGCTGCTCAGCCTGTGTAGTGCTTCGAGCACGGCGGCCGACTCAGCTTCAGCGTTCAAAGCGGGGCGATAAAATTAGACAAAGTGCCTAATTTGCCTGTTCAAATTGAACCGTAAATTGAGGGAGGCGGCTCCGGTGGACGTGTCTAACCGCGCCGTCGTCCGCGGGCCGTGTCACGGACAGGCCGGCCGGCGGGTCTGGGTCGCTGGGGCGCGCCCGCCCCTCCCCCGAGTCCCTGGCGCCGACGGTCGGACAGCTCCGACAGCGGGCCGACGAGAGTTTGACACGTGAGCGGCCGACCGGCCGTCCGCGTCGCCCGGGTCCGGCTCGCCGGCCGGGCTGGAGCCGCCCGGAAGCGGGCCCGCCTGTCGGCGCGCGGCGGGTCGCGGCGGTGTTTTACACGGCGGAGCTGAGACGACCTGTCGCCACCCTCCGCCCTGAGACTCGGCTCCTTCGGCGCCCGCGGCTCGGAATAGCGCCGTCCGCCGCGCCGATCGGCGGACCGGCCCCGGCAGCTGTTCGCAGCTGTGCGACCGAAATACGCGACGGACTCGCCGCGTCAGCGACGATGCCGACGCGGCGGGCCGCGGGAAGAGCGCGCTGCCGCTGGGTCTTTCCTGGAGAGGAGCGGCGCGGCCGCGACCTGAAGTGAGCACGGGAACTGACGTAGGCGGTCGTCTATTTGGACGGGCGGAGGTGCGCCGCGCCACGAGATCCACGCCGTCGTTCGCAGAACGGATGGAGCTCCAGACGTGTTCGCGCGGTCTGGAAATGTTGATCGCCAGAAATTGTTCAGTCCCATTACTGCTCGTTCACTTTTGAGTGAGCTGGGCTTTGTGGATTTATCCCAATAAAAGCCATTGGAGCGAGTCGCTGTTATCCGTGCCGCCAGCTGGAACTCAATCCAACTTCTCGACAGTTACTGATTAGCTTATTTGTGAATTTCGAGTGGACCCGAGCGCTATTGTCTTTTCGCTTCTCTGCAGCTGTGTGGCTCCCTTGATTGTATGGATTCGCGCTCCTCAACCCCGCCCATATTAATCTCACGTGCTCCCTATTCTCTCTGGCGGAGCCGTCATCGTTCCTCCGTTGCTCTACCCGCTCCCTGGCCATTTCTCTCGCTCTGCCTCGCCCCTCGGCTCCCCATATGCCCATTTTAATCCCGACCGACGACACGGCCGCTCCGGGTCGCCAGCCGCCGACTCCAATTTACGATAACGTCGCCGGTGAGCTACGGGAACACAAAATTAAACACGGCCACCAGCGCCGGCCACCGCCCACTGGAAGGTCACACCGCGCCGCCGCCGCCGCCGCCGCGGGCCGCTGCCGCCTGCGTGCGCAGGCTGTGCCGCCGAGCTCGACGCCGTGCCCCCTCCCCCCGGCCCCGCCCGTTCTCGCCTCCGACCGCGTGGCCGGGTGGTCCTTTCGTGGTGCCTGACTGATGTTTGTGTATGCCCGGGCAGTGTGTGGGCTGGTGTGTGCACTGGTGCGGGCGGGCTGCCGGCGGGCCGGTCCTGGCAATGCTCGGTGCTCTGACAAGGCCCATGCGTTTCGCGACTGGGACCGGGTGTCGGGTGCGGTGCGCCGCCACCGCCGCGAGCGTCTCCTTAGCATATAGAGTGAGTCACCGTTGACCGATCAGTACTATCGTTTGGACACCACGTCGCACGTACAGGTCGTCCTCCAACGGTCGTACACAGCGCTCGCTCGCCGCCTGTAATGCATAGCCGCCCGCCTTGTGATTCGCGTGTAGCGTGCACCCGGCGCCGCCGAACCCGTGACGGGCGTCAATACGACGGCCGCCGCGCCGGGCCGCGTGTGACGGCTTTACGTGGCTGAGCGGCGTGCTCAGCCGAGCGCGACCGGCGGCGGATATGGCAGCGCGGCGAGTGGCGCGGCGGCGGATATGGCAGCTCGTTGGCGCCGGTCGGGACGGCCGTCGCGCGGCCCGTGTCGTGTAATGCGGCGGTGGCCTGATGGATGGTGCGCTGGCCGGCCGGTGGCCGCGGTCCGGGCGGGCGGCCGGCCTGATGGATCGGAGCCGACCGATCCACCGCCGCCGCCGCCGCCGCCGCCGCCGCCGCTGGCGTAGCCGGCTGGACACAGACCGTTCATGCACAACGCCGCTGGAGCACCCGAACGGAAACGGACACAGACACACAAACACGCAGACACAGACGACCGTAGGACGCCCGCAGGACGCCCGCACACAACTGCGGCTACAGCACACACACACACACACACACACACACACACACACACACACCACACACACACACACACACACACACACTCACACACACGGCCAACGATGCGGGGCATCGAGGCCGGACAGTCCCGAGAGTCGGCCAGGCTGGAGGCATGTGGCGGCCACACGCCGTCTGTTTGCACAGACACACACACACACACACAACGCGATACTCCATTGTCACGCGTCGGCCTGCGTTGTTGGAGCGCCTCTCCCCGGCGTGAGCACACAAACACGGGAAGTAATGGAAGTGCACGCGTCCAAGAAACCCGCGGCTGGCTTGTAGCGAGGAACTGTGCCAGGAGCGCGGTGTGTAGAGTGCTCACGAACATGCAAATTAAGCCCGGCAGACACGCTTTCGAATATGCGGCAACGAATATGCGACGAATAAATGGCATGCCGATTGATCAGGCGAGTTGCAAAAGAAACGAATCTTCTGCTGTGCATAGCGTATATGGGAAGCATTGCAAGCGCTGCAAGAACACATGAACTGTACAGCAAGTGTACAGGTGCCGAGCACAGAACAGTGCGGTCCAAGAAACGACGCTGCTCAAGAGAACCTGCCCGCCATGCAGCCGAACTTGGATCGGCCGAACAAGATCCATCATTCCTCTGTCACCTCTGTCATGAACAACCCTTTGGGGCCGGCAAAAGCTCACGCAGGTCGCTCGGCCGACAGGCAGTGCTTAATGGCCGAGTAAATGGCCGTTATCGCTGGTGGCTGTTCGGTAAAATGGGCCGTAATCACCATTGTCACATCCCATTCAAGGCGGGCAGCCTTTGTCGTGCCGGGGGCGGCGGCCGGCGCCGGTGCACGCCTGTGTGGCGGCGTGGCGCGGCGCGTACAGCCTTGGCTGGTGACTGGCGACCCGAAACGGATGACCCGTAGTCGGTGGTGCAGACCCATGACCCGTGACTGACGACCCCTTGACACGTGACTGGTGACATGGGATCGGTGAGCAGTGACCTGGGGTCAATGGCCGGTGACGTGAAGCAGAGGGCTGACGTGTCACACGTGATGATGGTTGACCCCTAACGGATGACCGGTGGCCCTTCATCGGTGACAGTTGACCTGTGACCCGTTATCAATGCCAGATGACCTTAGGTCGATGCATGGTGCTGAGTGACGACTGATAGTTTGTGACCGGTGCTGGTTGAAGACACCGATGCATGTCTGAACGCCACCGCATGCTGATAATATCTAGCCGATGACCAATTCAACGGAACATTGCGTTCTGGTGAAGAATCCGCTCGCCAATGGGTTCTTTTAAATGGTCGTGCTCATTGGCTGGCGAGCAATGGCTGACGAGTGGCTGAGGACTGATTTCATGCGTGGCTCACCGCAGGCGACCACCACCGATGAGCGCCCGGTCCCTCGCCTCAGCCGGTCCAGTAATCGGGCTGCAAACACAGCTAGCGTGTGCCGTGGACCAGAATTGCGTGACATTTTGCGATCGGTTAAACGTAATCGCTGGCTCATCAGCGATGAGATTTCGAGCCTTGGCTCATGACGTCGAGTTATGGCTGCCCGGCGCTTGACCTGCCCTTTTGGTGTCTGCATGTCGCTGCTGACACATCGGTGGTTTTATGCTGATCGGACCCCTTGACAACTCAGCGGTGACCCGAGACCCATTCAAGACCAAGGGCTAGCCTCGAACCCATCAGTAGCTTAGTGATGTTCACTGAACACGACAACCCGGCTTTGACTGATAGCGCGTCAGCGACCCAGCGGAGGCCTCGAAAACCATCGGCAGCCTTGCTTTGACCGCTGGGGCAAGGGTGCCGCAATGCTGACCCGAGTCACGTGACGCGTTGCAGTCACCTGAACCGGACGACAACGTACGAGGACCCGCGTCAGGAGGAAGAGCCGCCGCCGGAGCCTCGTCAGGTCACACTGCACCGGCACCCAGAGCTGGGCTTCGGCTTCGTCGCCGGCAGCGAGAAGCCCGTCATCGTCAGGTCAGTGACCCCGGGAGACGGACACGGACAGGTCATCGAGTGGAGAGGCGTCGTGCTCCGCTCGGCGCGGATTGCGCGTCGGCCGCCGCGTGCGAGGACCCGGCTCTGCCACGCGAGAAATGATCGACGTAAACAGGATACGCTCGGTAGCCTGTGGCGTGCGGCACTGAGTCAACACCGCCGAGCGGTAATGATTTACCGAGTCATGCTTATGTCAAAGCGCCGCGCCCCGTCGGTGCCGGGAGGAGTCCCATCTGGCACCATCCCAGACGCTCTTCTGCTGAGCACCTGCGCTGAGTACCCCGGATCCGGGGCTCTCATGTTGTCAGGGGTGGGCGATGAATCACGCATCGACCGACAAACGACCACGCTGCGGTCTCAACCTGCCGCGGCAGCGGTGCCGCCCGGGAGGTGCGGGGGCCCGCCGCTGCTCGGCGCCGCCGAGATCCAAGAGTTATTACCGGACGTCTGGGGCGCGTGATTCACACGCCGCGTCAACCGGAGTGTGCCCCGGCACGGAAGACGCGGGGCAGGCGCCCAAAATCGGTCCGGGAGCCTGCCGGCTCGTCATCTTAACGCGCCTGTTTGTTGATGCTGTCGGCGCGTTGCCATGCAGATGTATTCATGGCAGGCGGCGCTTGAGTCATGGCAACGCATCGCCCGGCGCCGAGCGTGGCCCTCTGCGATCCGCTGCGATCCGCTGCGACCCGCTGCGGCTGCTTCGCTCCTCAGCAGCCGAGCGAGGCCCTCTGCGATCCGCTGCGATCCGCTGCGATCCGCTGCGGGTGCTTCGCCTCTCAGCAGCCGGGCGTGGTGCACTGCGATCCGCTGCGATCCGCTGCGGGTGCTTCGCTTCTCAGCAGCCGTGCGTAGCCCACTGCGATCCGCAGCTGCTTCGCCTCTCAGCAGCGGCGCGGCGAGTCGAGGGTCGCCGTCACCTGTCCTTGTCCAGGGTCAAGGTCGGCGGCTCGTCTGTCGCGGCCGGTGCTGTCGTCGCCAGCTGACCGTCAGTGTTCAGCTGAGCTGAGTAACTCAAGAGCGACGTCGTTGGCAGACTCGGCCGACAGCGAGAGCTAGAGTTAGGGGTCGTTCTGGTGACAAGGAGCTGCAGGCGATGTCGGGCAGCCGTCGCCGCCGGCCCGGGGCAGCCTGGTCGGGCCAGGGACATTGCGACCGACCCAGCACCGTCGACCGGCAGGTCGGGTCAGGCAGGACCGCTGGTGAGATCACGTGGCATGGCTGGCGGACGCGATGGGCTGTTTCGGTTGGCTTGGACACAACACTGAGTCACGTTTATGCGCCTCTGGTTTACATATTTTTTCGGATAAAAAGTCAGATTTGCTATTTTGAGCGGCTGGGTCTGCTAAAGGGCCAACCCCAGGACGGTGCCTAAGCTTTCGGTTCCCTGCGTTGATCGCTCCCTGAGTCGCGTTGGCTGTTCATCGTCATCGTCTCGGGTCCGCTGCCCTCGCTGGCCGCTCCTCCGGCCAGCTTCCGGCGGACCGCTGGGAGTGGGCGAAGAAGGGGAGGGGGAGTGAGAGGGGGAGGGGGAGGGGGAGGGGGAGGGGGAGGGGGAGGGGGAGGGGGAGGGGGAGGGGGAGGGGGGAGGGGGAGGGGGAGGGGAGGGGCAGGAGGAGGAGGAGGAGGAGGAGGAGGAGGAGGAGGAGGGGAGGGGGAGGGGGAGGGGGAGGGGGAGGGGGAGGGGGAGGAGGAGGAGGAGGGGAGGAGAGGGGAGGGGAGGGGAGGGGAGGGAGGGAAGGAAGGAGAGGGAGAGGGAGAGGGAGATGGAGAGGAGAGGGAGAGGGAGAGGGAGAGGGAGAGGGAGAGGGAGAGGGAGAGGAAAGGAGAGGAAGGGGGAGACCGCACAGGTTCCTGCTGGCCGTCCTGCCGCAGCCGCCGCTATACAACTCCCAGGGGGCGCCGGCGGCCCCCCGGCCGCACAGCCGAGCCGCGTCGCGTGATTATTTGATCGGAGCCATAACACCGCTCGCTGCGTGCTGGGCGCGGCTGCTCCGCGGGAGCCGCGGGAGTCGACTCCGGCTCCGGCTCCGACCCAGGAGCCGGATCGTGTAGCTCTGCGTGCCACAGCCAGGGCCACACCGAGTCAGCGTGGCGTTGCGTGTCGCGCTGACCCAGTTGGGCTGTGAGACGGGTGCAACTGAGGGCGCGCTCGCTTCCGGGCGGACGGCGGGAAGGTCAGACCAGTTGCCAGGGGTCAAAGGCGGGTCGCGTTCGAGGGAAGGTCAGTGCCCACCGGTTCCGGTTGTCATGCGGTCTGCATTCGCCGACTGGGAGAGTGGTGTCACAGTCAGGACGCTTCTGGCGCCGGGTCTGAAATCTCGCCGCGGACTCCGCGTGGACTGCCGGGAGTTGACCTGCCAGAGGGCAGGGCCGGAGTGTGGGCGACCACAGGCAGAGCCCGGCCAGCGGGGACTGCCGGGGGTGGATCTGCCAGAGAGTAGGGCCGGAGTGCGGGCGACCACAGGCAGAGCCCGGCCAGCTGGGACTGCCGGGGTTGATCTGCCAGAGAGCAGGGCCGGAGTGCGGGCGGACCACAGGCAGAGCCCGGCCAGCTGGGACACACTCGCGCTCGTGGCTTTGTGAAGGCACACCGCAAACGGCGAGGCCCCGCAGCCGGGCACGAGTGGCTCCGCAACCATGGAATACGGAAGAAGAATGCGGAATGGGCGCTCCTCGGTGCTCATCGGGGGCCTCGTCCCAGTTTATGGGAATAGTTCACCGCAAGCCTTTCGCCCGCCGACCGCCGGTCCTGACCGCACGAGAGGCGAGCACCGGACTCTCTCCAGCGCTCAGCCCGGGCTGCCCGATCACGGCTGCTCGTGCTCCCAGGCCACGTGTCAGTGATGGCTGCCGCCAGCTTCAGACCCGATTCATGCTGCATTGGCCAATGTGAACTGATTGGAACGGGCATGTGATCAAGGTGTGACCGGATTTTCAGTCGAGGGCGTGTGCCGCGGAGTATTCTGATCGCGGAGAGCGCTGTGGTCTGGAGCACAATGTCTGTCGGTGTTCAATAAAGTGGGCATTTATCGCGAGTGGCAGGGCAGGGAACTGAGCTGTCGTTTGCAGAGCGTTCTTTTCAGTGTGGGACAGAGCGTTGTGCTTCGCTTCCCCTATTCTGGTTCGAATGATCTCGCACACGTCAGGCCGTGAAGGAAACTAATTTTCCGAGAATTAATGAGAATGCCCCCAGGGCGGGCAGGCGCAAATGGTTTTCGTCTTAAATGACGGCATTATTCTGGGGTAATTAATTTGTCTCTGCGCGAGCGTTAAGCCTATTATTTTATCAGGCTCACCATGGAAGGTGGTCGCACCCAGAAATGCTCTGGATTTAGTGATGTGCTGGTGGTGTTGGTCGGGACTCGGACGTCAATGAAGACAAATTACGGCGTGTTGCAGTCTTCGACGAGATCTATGGGGCGGAAACCCATCCGCCACTTGGCCGCGGCCGATTTATCTGCTTTTATCAAGCGGGAGCTGTTGGACGTGGTCCAATAGTTGACGCATGGGGAGTCGTCATCATGAATATCAAACGACCGTTTAAAATAGTTTCGCGGCGCTCAGAGTTTTAGCGGCCAAGCGGCCCGATATAGCGTCCGTCGGCCGGCGAACCGTCACAGGGCAGGGGTGAGCCGAGGGGGGGGGGGCGACGGAGGCGCCGCTGGGGCTTGTCAACACGTGCACAGCCCGGAAACGCCGCGCTCCCGTCGCTTCTCTTAGCAAACACTGGCTCTGCTGAAAGGCGACGAGTGTGTTTGGCAGCGCATATGCCGTACTTGAAGAGATTGGACCCACCGAAAGATTGTGTTTATGAGTAGAAAGCTGTAATATACTCTCCTAGTTAACGTGACACCATTACTTTTTCTGGATGCTTGTCTGTGTGCGAAATTCGGCGAGGTTGAAGGTAAGGATTAAGCCTCACACTGAAAGGAGGTGTTCCACATTTGTATGGGGGTTTTAACTGAAACATCCACCTTCAAGATCATTTGGTGTAGTTAACAGCCCTGTCCTGCTCGGGACCCAACCATTCTAGTTTTTGAGCTACACGCTCGCGAAGATGTGCGAGCTATTTCGGGGAGACGCGTGGTGAGTCGACTATTTCGAGGTTACCTAGACATCCATGGCACCATAAGAGCGTCATTCAACTCTTGTCATTCCGTTGCCATGCGGTGATCAAGACCAATAAAGATGTAATTGTCGTGTTGTTCATATATGGCGTTCGTGAGCACCATTTTCCGATATGACAGCCGTCAATTGGCTTTCAATCAGTGTTATGCAAGGTACAATGACATAATCGAGCTATTGTCTAGAGCAGCCTTTTCCGCTTAAAAAGGTGCCAATAGTTATAAATGAGCTTATTTCATCATATATAATGTTTGCTTCAATATCTTCAAATGTGAAACATTCCCTTTAAGAAACCTAACACCTAATAGTGACGCTTTAATAAAAAGTGGGTTGCGCATAATGATGCTTTTATCACGACAGTGTTCGGTTTATAGTGTCGCAGTTACACTTACAGTTGTGGTAAACGCACTTTAAGTATGGAATGATATGAATTGCACAGCTCAGGTTACATGCATATCCACAGGCGCGGAAACTATCGCGTTATGGGGGTTTTGGGGGCTCGAGTCCTCCCCCACCCCCACTCAACATTTGGGAAAATTTATCCCTAGGCGTATGGTCATGCATGGAAAGAAAGACCACGAACTGCTTCTGAACCCCCAATATTAGACAACTCATTTCGCTTCTCTATGATACATACATGAATTATAGCATGTATACACCTAGGTTCGCATAGTTACCTGCCATATACACGGTCACAACAAGCTGATCTAAGCGCCTATGCAGTTTTATAGGCTCATTTTGAATTTACCTAAACAACTAATTTTTTATTTTTGATAATCATCTTAAAGAATCATGCCATCGCACATCGATATAGCACTACTCGTCACGCGTCGCCGAGCCGCACAGAAGTGGGC